GGGCACTACGAGTTTCTCGTGATGCCCTTCGGACTCACCAATGCCCCCGCTACCTTCCAATCTACCATGAACCACATCTTCCGCAACCTCCTCGAAGTCTGTATCATCGTCTACCTTGATGACATCCTTGTCTTCAGCCCCACYTTCGAGTCCCACCTTCAGCACCTCCGCCAAGTTCTCTCGATCCTCCGCGAACAAAAATTYTACGCCAAGCTCAGCAAATGTACGTTTGCCGCTTCGAGCGTCGAATACCTTGGCCATATTGTCTCCGCTGAAGGCATCCGTATGGACCCCTCAAAGGTCACARYCCTCGCCGAGTACCCCCCACCCAAGACCCTCCTCCAACTCCGTTCCTTCCTTGGCCTTGCCAACTATTACCGCCCGTTCATTCGCAACTTTTCCGAGATCTCTTACCCTCTCCACGAACTCACCCGCAAGGACGAGCCTTTCTATTGGAACGATTGCCGCCAACAAGTGTTAAACTTACTCAAGCAAACCATCACCACGGCCCCTGTCCTCAAGATCGTCGACCCCACTCGCCATTTCTATGTCACCACTGACGCCTCCGACTCTGCCATCGGAGCCGTACTGTCCCAACATTTCCCCCGCGACACCGTTGAGACCCCCTCCATCAAGGACTCGTCCACTCACCCCGAGGCTCCACCTGGCGAATACCCCATCGCCTTCGCAAGCAAGAAGCTCCTTCCCGCGGAGATGAATTACCCCTCCAACGAGAAGGAACTCCTCGCCGTGATTCATGCCCTCACAGTCTGGCGCCCGAACCTCGACGGGCAATACTTCACCAACCGCACTGACAACACCATCGTCTCCTTCATCCTCTCCAAGAAAGATATCACTCCACGCCAAGCCCGCTGGCTAGACTTCCTTGCCCAGTTCACATTCACCATTTGCCATACCCCCGGCAAAAGCAGCCGCGTTGCCGATGCCCTCTCGCGACGACCCGACCACAAGCCCCCCGAGAAAGTCTACGCCGCCATGACTCATATTCAACTCCTTCCATCACTTCATCATCGATACACCCAAGGCTATCTCTCCTGCTCAGACTTCGCCACCATTTACAACAAACTCCGCGATCTTGACCCAGTTCCGGACTACTCCCTCCACAACAATCTCCTCTACATCGATACCAAAGGCACTCGCCGACTTTGCATCCCCGACGCACGAGGCCTCCGTACACAGCTCTTGGCCGAGCACCACGACGCCAAGACCGCAGGACATCTCGGTTTCCAAAAAACCTTCGACACCATTTCCCGCTACTTCTACTGGCCTTCCTTACTCGCCGACGTTAAGGCATACATYCGTTCGTGCCCCACGTGCCAAGCTGTCAACCCCTCAAACCGGGCCAAACCCGACAAGCTCCAATCATTGCCCATCCCAACTCACCGGTGGCAGTCCATCTCCATGGACTTCGTGTGCGGCCTCCCCAAGACCGACCGCGGGCATGATTGCATCTATGTCACTGTCTGCCGCTTGACCAAACGTGCCCACTTCATCCCTTGCACGACCTCCCAGAGTGCCAAAGACGTCGCCACACTCTTCTTCGACCATGTTGCTCGCCATCACGGCCTCCCCGAGAACGTCATCAGTGACCGTGATCCTCGCTTCCTCTCACAATTCTGGAAACACCTCTTCATGGCCTACGGAACCACGCTCAAGTATAGCACTGCATTCCACCCACAGACCGATGGACAAACAGAGAAGATGAACGATACACTCCAAAGAATCCTGCGAAAGTATTGTCATCCACACCAACACGATTGGSATCAGTTGCTCACAGCCGCCGAGATTGCCTACAACAACGTTGTCTGCCCCTCCACTAGCATGTCCCCTTTCTACCTCGACCTTGGCTACCATCCCCGATTGCCCTCCGATTTCTTGCTTCCCTCGCAGCTCAGCCCCTCCACCCCTTGCCCCTCTCTCAATGAATGGGTAGCAACGATGAACAGACTCCTCAGAGAAGCAACCGAAGCCCTTGAAAGAACACAAGAACAACAAGCCAACAAGACTAACAAACACAGACGTGACGTGTCATTCAAAGTAGGGGACAAAGTATGGCTTTCTGCCAAACGCTTTGAACCCGAACAAGGCTTGTCCAAGAAACTCTCAAACAAGTGGCTCGGTCCCTTCCCCATCATTGAACAAACCTCCCCCGTCAACTACAA